ATATTGTCTGCATGTTTAGGAATTTTGTTTCATCCTAGTAATGGTGAGTCAGCAATGCTTTTAAAGTAAGGTAGTAATGAGGTCAGATTTGAGTTTTAGAACAATACACTCTTGTAACAATCTAGGGATGGCTCAAAGGAAAAGAATAGACATAGAGACTGAAGCTTTTAGTCCTAAGATTCTAAAGTTTGGGAAGTTCTAAATCATATCCCAAGTTTATTTAATGATTCCTAGTATATTTCCTCTCATCCTCCTGAACTAATCTGTTGCAGCATAATCTGTATGCCTTTTCTTGAGCTAGTTGATTTTTTTCCTGGGCATTTCTTAATATATGGTGATCTCTCACACACAGTATTTAGATCTAGGAAGGATATGCCAATGCTTTCTGTTTGATTTTTTTTTTTAAGTTTATTTATTTAAGTAATCTCCACCCAACATGGGGCTCAAACTCATGACCCCAAGATCAAGAGTCGCATGTTCTTTCAACTGAGCCAACCAGGCACCCCTCTATTTGATTTTTAATGCTCTTCTCAATTAAGTCTCGCATTTTGCTGGCCTTTTGGTTTAATGAATTTATTTCATGAACTGGTTCCTATGAGGCAACCATAAATCCCATGGATTGGATGGCCTTCATTTTCTAGGCTTTTAATCTAGAGGGGAAAAAAATCTATTTAACAGGCCTTTATTCTATTAGACACTAGAAATTTAAAGAAGAATGAACACTGTCTCTGCCTTCAAGGAACTCACAAACCAGTAGGAGAGTTCAAAGAATTTTTTTGATGACATAAATGTTTATCAAGGTGCATACTTGAGGACAGAGGAAGGCAGAGCTAATTTTTGTGGGCTACCAAGAAGAATCAGAAAATCTTTTTCCCTTTCAAACTATATGAAAGTATAATTCCCAACACTTTCTACAGCATTAGAAAATATAGTATAACAAGAAGGTACAAGTCTATAATCACCTTTGAGCTCTGGTTCAATTTAAGCCATGTCCTCCTAACCACTTTCTTGTAATGCTTTAGTTATTTTTAACTGTCTAAGAGTTTGTGAACATTTTCTTTTTTCTTTGCAAATTCTCCCAGATCTCTGGATTTTTGGCTTGTAGCAGTTCAAAATGACTTGTCTGTAAATAGCATTTTTTACTTTAAACATGTTAATCCCATACACTGGCATCACACTTAGTTTCTACTTTGCTTTCATGGAAGATAAGTCTTTTAAGAAGAGCCCAGGAGCTCAGCATGAATTTCATGACCTGCATTTCTTAGTAGCTACTTTGCCCTTAGGATCTTTTCTGCTTGATGAGTCGATAAAAGCTTGTCCTAGTTTCTTGAACCTATTTTGTAGCAATAATTCAGCCTGCATTTTTTTCTTTCCTTATTGTTTCCTTGAAGTTTAAAACTATTTCGTATCTTTATGTTTGCTTTTCTGGAGTTTTCAATTCCAGGGAGAAATTTCTTCCCTAAAAATCTCTTCATAGGTCCTCTCCAAAGCTAGAAATGTCTATTAACTTTCTCCTTATAATTAGAAATTATAATCTAATAAACTACTGTCTCCACATATCCTCTCTTGTGGGTGTTTTTCTGATTGCTTTGAGCTTGATGTTTCTGTTCCTTGTGTTGTAGTAATGACTTTCACATGTCACGCCTTCACTACGCTTTGACCAATTTTATATCAGGATTGTTTATATTCAGGATTGTGGCGCTATCTTCCGACTTAGTTGTTTACCTGGATGATTATTTGCTTAGAAAACATTTTCAGAAATATGTTATAGTAATTTGAGAATCTGAAAACCTATCTAAATTGAAAGCTGACAATTTTTTCTTTCCTTAACATTCAAGGGGGTCACAATTACACCTGTCTCTAACATCGCTCGTGTATTTCTACTCTTTTTTTTTTTTAAGATTTTATTTGCTTATTTGACTGACAGAGATCACAAGTAGGCAGAGAGGCAGGCAGAGAGAGAGGAAGGGAAGCGGGCTCCCTGCCTAGCAGAAAGCCTGATTCGGGGCTGGATGCGGGGCTCGATCCCAGAACCCTGTGATCATGACCTGAGCCGAAGGCAGAGGCTTTAACCCACTGAGCCACCTAGGCGCCCCTATTTCCACTCTTCTTAAGACCCATGTTTCACTAAAGAGGTTTCCTCTGCCACTGAGGTGTGGCGAAAATCTGTTATCATGTACTCTGTGGCAGAAGAGAAATCTAAAAGTAGCTGTTCCTTCTTGGGAAAAACAAATACTATCTGGAAGGTCATCACTTCTGCTTTAAAAATATTTTAAAGAGGAGTCCCTGGGTGACTCTGTCAGTTAAGCATCCAACTCTTTTTTTTTTTTTTTTTTTTTTTTTAAGATTTTACTTCTTCATAGAGAGAGAGAGAGCACAAGGAGGGGAGAAGGAGGAGCAGGCTTCCTGCTGACCAGTGAGCCGGACATGGGACTCTATCCCAGGACCCTGGGGCCATGACCTGAGCTGCAGGAAGCTGCTTAGCCAACTGAGCCACCCGGGCACCACAGCATCCAACTCTTGATCTCAGCTCAGGTCTTGAACACAGGATTATAAGTTTAAACCCTGTGTTGGGATCTATACTGGCTGGGCCCATGGAGCCTACTTAAAAATATGTATTTTTTAAAGACTTTCAAGGGGCGCCTGGGTGGCTCAGGTGGTTGAGCATCTGCCTTTGGCTCGGGTCATGATCTCCAGGTCCTGGGATTGAGCCCCACGTCGGGCTCCCAGCTCAGCGGAGAGTCTTTTTTTCCCTCTTCCTCTTCCTTTCCCACTACTTGTGCTCTCTCTGTCTCTGTATCTCTCTCAAATGAATAAACAAACAAACAAAAAATCTTAAAAAAAAATAAAGACTTTCATGTCATTTATTGTTTGTTTTCAAGTTTTAATACATACTTATTATAGAAAATTTTGAGAATATGTAAAAGTATAAAGAAGAAAAATGCAAGCAGTCAGTAATTCTAACCCCAGTAAGGCTACCTGTTATTTCTGTGCAACCTCAAATTTTCTTGAAGCCTTAGTCTAGCAACTTCCTACCCTTTTCTTCTTCAATAGACTGTTGAAGACATTAAGAGTGGAAGACTGACTTTAAATATATGGGTCCTTAGGATTTTTATGGAAGGGATGGAGCTGTAGGAAAAAGCTACAAATTGCTCCAGAGATGACATCTTGTTCTTATTTAGCTTTCTTTGAGTCATTAACAGTCGGGCGCCACTGGTGCTGAAACTTATCATTATTATAACCGCAAATGGGTTAATGCCCAAACAAAGCTATATTCTTGGGGCTGGTTCCCAGCTCCACCACACAGATCCCAGCAGCAGCACCCTCCAAGTCCCAGGATAATGCCCCACAAATAAGAGGATGTCAAATGTCCAGCCTGGACTTGAAATTCTCTTCTTTTATCTGGGAGCTTCTAGTTGCTGTCAGGGCGGAACAAAAGTAAAAATAAATAAATAAAAACCAAGCCAACAAATCCTAAAAAAAGAGGCTGTGTGGTTTAGTGGTCAGACCACTAGCCTGGAGGCTGGGATAGTTGAGATCCAGTTCTAGTTCACCCACCAATTGGCTGGATGATGCTAGACAAGTCATTTTCCTGACCTGTTCCTCAGTTACCCTGCTTAAAAAAAGGAAGTGCCTTAGAAAGTTTTTATGAGGACAAATATAATGATCTGCAAATAGCTTCAGGTTGCTTGGAAATAAAATGAAATTGTAGTCCTTAATAATTACTATCCCATTATTTTATTAATAATATAGTAATAAGCCACGGGTGTGAAAGTTATGAAACTTCCACACCCTCAAGCAGCACTGGGGCGGGGGCAAGGGCAGCAATGGGATGGTGCGGGAGGCAAGAGTGGAGGAAGAACGGGGGGAGAAAGCAAATATTTTTATCCAATTTGCAGGACTTGACATTAAATATCAAATTATTAAATTCATTACCTCAAGATAAATGCTGCTTCTAGTTTGGCTCTGTCCCTTTATCCTTACCACATCCAAACTCAGAGTGACTCATGGGAGCCTAGAAATAAGACATATACAATTTTAAGGCAAAGGGAGAATTAGGAGGTTAGAAGCTCCTACCGGAGAAGACTAAGAATAGATCATGGACACAAAGCGAAGAAGCTCCTCTTTCCCTTTCTTCCCAGTGTAGGTGGTCCACTGGTTTCACAGTCATTCCTCTGATAGCATGATTTTCCTTTTCTTCCTTCCTTCATTTCTTTCTTTTTTTCCTTCCTGTTTTTCCTCCTTCTTTCTTGTTCTTTTCACAAAAATCTCACTTTGTGGAAACTAACTTAACAAGAGAGGATAGAGTGGCTTTTTCTAGTAGGTTTCAACTGTAACAGGAACTACAGATCACTAACCTGTTGTGGGGAGTGAGGAGAAACAAAAAGAATAATCTGGAGATCTGGGAAGTTAAAAACCAATTAATACCCTGCCTTCTTAAAAGAGAAGTGAGCAATGAGGCATATGAAAAAAAAAAAAAAATCCAATAGTGCCCTCGCTTGTGTTCCCCATCCCTTCAAGAAGTGAAGTGTCTTGTTGGGAAAAAAGAAAGACACTTGGGAAGGGTATCAAATAGTAAGGGATAGGGGTAGAAGGAGGGACTAAAGATAAAGAGGAATTTGAGAGGAAATGTCAGTGAACTCGTAGAGGATTTAATAACCACCTTCTGCATGTCCAGCCTGGACATGGGCAGAAAGGACACATCCCTGACCTCACAGAGCAGCCAAAACACACGCCTGTGAAAAGCACTTGGTAGCAATTTCAGACAGTAAATAATAAAGAGATAAAAATAGGTCATGGGACATTAAATGTTTATGGGAATTTAAGGGTGGGAGCTATTATTGTGAGTTAGGGTAACAGCTGTACAAAGTAGGAATCGTAGTTATGAACTTCAGAAATTGCGCCTGCGGAGGGCTCGCAGTAATTTTTCGACACCGGGAAATGTGAGAGATTCCAAAGAATGCTCCACCTCAAATTCCTCTAAAACCAACTCCTCAAGAATGGCAGTCCTCAGAAACCTCAACCGCCGTGAAGCGACAGCTGCCGGAACCGGTGTGGCCAGCTTGGGGTTGCGATACGGAGACTGTTTGCGTGACACCCCCCTCCACCTCCGGCCTCCTCCCGCCGCGTGGTTGCCGTGGCAACGGAAGAGAGCCGGCGACCTGGGTTCCGGAAGCCCGAGTGCTAGAGCGTGGAAGCTACCCTGGTCCAAGGATGCTGAGTCCCGAGCGCCTAGCCCTACCGGACTACGAGTATTTGGGTAGGAGTTCCTTCAGTTTCGCAGAAGGAAAGAAGTGCCGACGATTAGGCCCGGGTCTGGGGAGGAGGAGGGGAGGGGGCTGAGTGGGAACGGGGGTTCAGGGGGAATAGGGAGGGGCCAGGAAGGGCGGGGTAGGGGGGGCGGGCATTCCGGGGCCTAGAAGTGCAAAGCCGAGCTTGGGGGAAAACAGCGTTGGGGGTCAAAGGGCGTCTGAGGTGTACGGGCTCAGGCAATGTGGATTGTGTTCGAAGTGGGATAGGTTGGAGCTGAGAATTTGGGGGCCCTTTTGGAATATTATAGATCATGCTGGTGGTGGAGTAACCTTGGAACCCGAAGTGCCAAATCAGTCATTCTGTGAACCATCATTTCCCCTTACAGCGGCCACTAACATGTTTGAGCATTTCTTTTATATTAGGCACAATGCCAAGCATTTTATGTGCACTTTAAAAATTGATCGTCACAACAGCCCTAGGAGGAAATAATGTGTTTTTCGTCCATTTTGAAGACGGAGAAGCCGAGGCTGAAGAGGTGACTTGGATGAATAAGGCCACACAGCTAGAAAATGGTAGAGCTGGAATCAGGAGCTAACCTGCCCATTCCAGAGCTTGAGTTCTTGACCATTGAGGCAGTAGCTGTAGTACTTTATTGAGCACCTTCGATGTGTAAGGCCTTTGCTGGGTGAAGAGAGGATGTATATGTGTGTGTATATATATATATACGTACAACTATGCACATACATTTAAAAACAATCACAGACTTTATTTTTTTAGAGGAATTTTAAGTTTACATAAGATCGAGCAGCTATCATAGAGCTGTTCCCATCTACTCTCTACCGCTCACTCAGTTTCCCCTATGATTAACACCTGCCATTAAGGTAGTACATTTCTTACAACTGATGAATCAATATTGATACATTGTTATTAACAAAGTCCATGCTTTACATTAGGGATCACTCTTTGTGTTGTACAATTCTATGGGTTTTGAATTCTCCATGTCATGTACCTGCCATTATAGTATCATGCAGAGTAGCTTCACTGCCCTAAAAATCCTCTGCGCTCTACCCATTCATCCTTCCTCCTGCCCCCTAACCCTTGGCATCCACTGATCCTTTTTACTGTCTGTGAAGTTTTACTTTTCCAGAATGTCATACAGTTGGAGTCATATAGGATGTAGCCTTTTCAGACTGGCTTGTTTACTTAGCAGTATGCATTTCAGGCCCTCCATGTCTTTTCCTGGCTTGATAGCCCATTTCTTTTTATCACTGAATGACATTTAATAGTTTGGATCCACTATAACATTTTTTTAAAATGAAAAACAATTCTAGTTTAAATTTTTTAATGGGTACTACGGAAATTGGATTAAAAATATAGAGAAGTTTATGGTGAAATCTCCTCCCCCTCCCTTCCCTCATCTGCCAGTTTTTCTCCACCCTTAGCACTACAGAAGTAACCACTATTACTGGTTTCCTGTGTATCCTTCCAGATTCATTTATTATGTACATAAGGGAGAGTATAGTGCACACTTTTCTCATTTAATAGATCTTAGAGTGAGATGTCAGTCTTAGAAAGCTTCCTTCTTTAAAAAAATTTTTTTAGCTACATAGTATTTAAATAATTTAACCAATTCTCTATTGGTAGACAGGTTATTTTTAGCCTTTTGCTATCACTAAAAATACCCCACTGAATAACATGCAATTTCATTCCTTTACTAGTATATCTGCAAAGACAAATTTGAGAAAGTAGAATTGGTAGGTCAGGGGAATATGCATTTTTAAATATTGTTGGATATTACCAAATTGCCCTCCGTAGAGGTTGTACCATTTTACATTGCCACCAGCAATGTAAGAATGTGTCTCCCCATAGTCTTTTCAACAAAATATGTCAAATTTTTGAGTGATTTCAACCTATTAAGTGGCAATTAGTCCCATGCTAGATTTAAAGTACATTTCTTTTGTGCAACTGAGCATCTTTTTACCAAGTTTAAGGGCTATTTGGTTTTCTAAATCTATATCTATGGAAAGAGGTATATATATATGTAGTAATAAAGCTATATATGTGGTAAGATATATATATATATACACCCACATATACACACACACACACATATGTGGAGATCTATATGTGGATATATATATATACACACATATATGCATATACATGTATGTGGGTATATATATATGTGCTCATATGTATATGTAGAGAGAGATTAATTGACTACATCCATTAATTAGTCAAAAGGGCATAGTTATATCACAGATAACTTCATATCAGATGAATAATAGCAATGTCTAGCAAACAACCTTTGCAAAAGATTTTATTTACTCCATTACTCAGTGAATCTATAAAATATTTGAAAATTCTAGTCCATTGTTCAGTCTCTTGGGTGTTTGTTGTTTAAGTAATGTACCTCAGAGTCTTGGCATGTTTAATACACTACTGCTTTGGTAATAGAAGTTGGTGGTCCCTCCGTAGTGGCTTTTTAAGGAAGACTAATTCAGTGGCAATGCTGATCATGAATCTACAAAGAAAATAGGAGTCTCAAGTTGATTCAAAAAGCTTCAATGTCCACCTATCCACCTAACATCTGAGCTCTGGGCAAGTGCTTCTTCAGGTTCTGTTGCACATTTAAGTCTCTTAAGCCCTTGTCCCATTCAGCATCTGGACAGTCATGGTGCCCTAAACAGGGTCATACTACTCACTGGCTTCCTCATGGTTCATCAACTCATACAACTCTGCGGAAATGCATTTGTCTTTGGCTGAGAACAACCCCTATCCATTACAGTTTGGTCATTTTTACAGGGATGCTGTTTTGAAGTATTCACCCTCAATCTAAGGACCATTGAAAACCACTCTTTATAGATTAATTTAAGAAAATATTTCCTGGTTTTCAAAATTTAAACACCTCAGAGGATTTATCTTTTCTTTTTTTTTCTTTTATAAATTACAAAGTCACTTGCATGTGTAGGCCTAGAGAAGAAAATACATATAGAGGAAAGAAAATTGCAGGAACAGAAACAGAAAAGCCAAAGCTAAGTACCCCCTTAGTATGTGTGTCAGAAGACCTCTTTTTAGTATTATGGTAGAAATTATAGGAATATCTATTCGATGAATATCTATAGATTTCCCTTTCTGTCTGCTAGCCAGGCCTTATATTTGACTTTTTGACTATTAGTAAAGAAAACAATCTTTTGTCAATTGGGTAAACAGATCCACCCCCCCCCCCGCCCCCCGACTTTGTGGATTAGGAACCTGTAATCATACTCTGAAATGGCTTAGGATCTTCAGATCATCATTACAGAGTCAGCTCAGTGATGTTCATGCCTGCAGTCATCAGAATGTAATGATAGAAATTGTGTCAATGCCGAGGGCTGAATAGGGAGAGGAGAGTCTGGTAAGGAGATGAAATAAGTATTGAACCCTTGAAAGATTTCCAGCCTTATGAAATCTACTTATTGGAAGCTTCTGCCAGAGGCTGAGGTGTGTTTATGTATCTGGTTGGGTGTGGAAAGCTCTCTAGAGCCGAAGGGCAGCCTGTTCTGGTCCCAGGTTTGCAAAACACACCACCTACGTGCTGACCTGAGTATAAGCACGAGGGTGTGAGGTTTATTTTTGACTCCACCTAATTTGGTGAGGTGCATGCTTTCACTCAGGCTCCAAGTTACCTCTTCTGTTTCCATGGAAACTGCTTATTCTCACTAAGTTTGGTATTAGGTTGACATAATAGATAACTTTAGGAAATCAGAGATGGTCTTTCTCCTTTGGAGGCTACACTCTTTGAGGAATTACAGTAAATTGGATAGTTTTTTTAAGCTGTAATTTTTAAGCATTTTATATATGCTTAGCACTGTGCCTTATCTGATTTGTTCTTCACAACTGCTACACAAAGTAGGTATCGTTAGTCTCATTTGGTAGTTATTAATATCATCTCATTTTACAAATAAGGAAATTAAGCTTAGAAAGGCTAATTAATTTGTACGAAGTCACATAGGTGATGATGTGTAGCAACGCCAGGATTCAAAACCATAGCCTGTTTTGCCCTCTCTACCAAGAAGATACAAATAGACAGACCGGAATGCTTATTTACCCACAAAGGGCAGTGATCCTTGCTTCCTTATTAGAAATGGAGCTCTTACACTGTTCATTAGTTGCAAGTAAGTTTCCTGAGAACAGGAATTGTATTTTACTTATCATTGTATACCTTCCTTTTACAATGACACACTTAACACAGAAAGATATGTTAAATCAAATGTGAATAATCTAATTTTAGGGTACAGGTACCCCAAATGTGAGCAGCTAACAGTAACAATTAAGACTTATTTAGGCACTAAAAAAAAAAAAAAAAGAATTAAGCTCTTACTATGTACCAGGTAACATTTTTTTTTAAAAGATTTTATTTATTTATTTGACAGAGAGAGAGAGAGAGAGAGAGAGAGATCACAAGTAGGCAGAGAGGCAGGCAGAGAGAGGGGGAAGCAGGCTCACTGCTGAGCAGAGAGCCCAATGCGGGGCTCGATCCCAGGACCCTGAGATCATGACCTGAGCCGAAGGCAGAGGCTCAACCCACTGAGCCACCCAGGCGCCCCACCAGGTAACATTTTAAGTGTTTTACATATATTAATGCACATGATGGTAACATTTTTTTTTTAGATTTTTATTTATTTATTTGACAGAGAGAGACAGCAAGAGAGGGAACACAAGAAGGGGGAGTGAGAGAGGGAGAAGCAGGCTTCCCGCTGAGCAGGAAGCCTGATGCTGGGCTCAATCCCATGACACCAAGATCATGACTAGAGCCAAAACCAAGAGTTAGATGCAAAACCTTCTGAGCCACCAAGGCGCCCCAACCATTTTAACTGTTACCTCCATTTGACAGATGAGGAAACAGCAGCATAAAGATATTTAAAAAGTAGTTAGTAATCAGGAAGGCAGAATTCTAATGCAGCAATCTGACGCCACAGAGTCCATACTGTAAAACTCCATGCTGTCAATACCTTGAGCAACTCC